GCGGGGCAGGGGACAGATTGGATACCCCTAACAAGCCTAAACACCGCTCAGGCGACTGGAAATCCCGCCCTGAAGTCACAGCTCCCAGGGTCCGCATAGCTTGGTAAAGGCACGTTTTATCGCGTATTCTGTACTCCGGCGTTGATTTTAGCGAGCAGATGCCCAAGGTGGTTCTAGTTGGATTGTGGGCTTTAGATTTAAGGCCTTACTAGTTCTGCCCGTGGTGACTGTTGGGACTTACTCGGGAGGCAGGAGAGGACGACGGGGTTACTGTTGATACAGGGCTCAGGTCCACCGGCCACTCTTCTTAGTGTAAGATAAACAGCTTAATAAATGGTATAAGCATGTAAGTGTTTTTTGTTTTTTAAGTTGGGGTTCCATTTGTACTAGAAGGTTCATTGCAAACCAAAGCTCAGGATTGATTTGTAGGACAAAAAAAATCACTGTTCCCGGCTAGCACGCGGTTCCAGACCAGGCAGTGCTCCGGGGCAGACACGTGCCTCCAGCCTTGCTGGTGTGCCTGTTGTTTCTGGGTCTCCGGACTGTCCTTTTGCATTTTGGGGAGCCAGGGCTCACAGGGTTGCTGGGCATTGCCCACCCACACAGCTAAGTGAAAGGCAGCCTCGAGAGCCGCCTCCTGGGTCTTGCCTCAGTAGAGCTGCGGTGCAGCCCTTGTTCTCTTGGCCCCTGGGGGCCCAGGAGAAACCCGGTGGCCCTGACCTTTGTATTCTCTGAAGCAAAAGTTCACTAATCTCAGTGAGCCTGTAAATAAGCTTTGGGGAGGGCTGTTCAAACCTTTGAGAATGAATGTTTAAGCTTCATTAAGATTGTCGAAATCCTCGTGTTCAGAGAAATCTGGTGAGCTAATTCTTGTCCCTTACAACAGGATCTGACTAGGCGAGACTGAGTCTAATACCGCGTGTAACGTGCATTTAAAAACTGCAAGCCATTTTAAAATCCTGTAATCTCTTTAAAATTCGACATTGACTAGTTCTTTGAAATCGACAAAGGGATTAAGGGTTTAAAGGTTCTCTGTCTTTTCTCCTGTAAGTTATAAATTCTTTGCCTTGGGATCATCCTTTTTCTCATTGTCAAGCTACTTACTTTGCAACATCGTGTGTCTTTCTTATGGGCCTTGTTCTGAGCGTTCCAGGGGGGCTCAGATCGCCCTCCGTGGACTGACCCCAAAGTGCTGAGTCATTGGCAGTGCAAAATTGCCAGCTTCTGAGTTAAAAGCTTTGTTTTTCTGTTTTGCCTATTCTATAAAAAGATGTTTACACACTGAGTGGAAATTCACGTTTAGGACTCTTCGGGCGGTTCACTTGCGTGTACGTGCTGCTGGGCACTCGCTCACTATCTGCCGGGTGTGGGTGGGGTCACTTGCGTCACATCACGTGGTGCTGCCCGGCTGCCCTGGGAAATGTGAGTCCGGGCACGGCTCCCGTCTGAGGCGGTGCGTGCCCCTCTCGGTTCTGGGCTGATGACCTCTTGTTTCTCTCTGAGCCCGAGTGGAGCCAGCCTCCTTCAGCCCGCCCTACAGACAGCGGCAGCGCTTTCCTTGAGAGCTGATTGGTTGTTCCCTGGTGCCCCCTGGTCCATTCTAGTTGCAGCAAGATCCCGATCTGCCTTTCTTGTCCCCACTTAGATGTGCAAGTGCTACCGTGCAGGAGGGCGGTAGGTAGCAGGATGGGAGGCGGTGGCATGGCTGACTTCCCACGAGGACCCCTGAATTCCAGGCCGACTGTTGACGAGTGCATGGGTTTAGTAAGGTGCTCACCAGTTTGCTCTGAGATGCTCCCCCCCACTTGCTTCCTGCAGCCAGTCAGACGACGCTGCTGTCACAGCCAGCCCGCTCTGGGCAGAGGTGTCCGAAGAGAAAAATGGGGTTTCTTTGGCATGGAAATTCTAGTAGAATTGTGCAGTTTTTTTTAATTAAAAAAATTTTTTTTCTTTTAACGTTTATTTGTTTTTGAGACAGAGACACAGCATGAACAGGGGAGGGTCAGAGAGAGAGGGAGACACAGAATCTGAAACAGGCTCCAGGCTCCGAGCTGTCAGCACAGAGCCCGATGTGGGGCTCG